TATTTAGAATAAGGTCCTTAACATTGTTGCTGTTATCACAATATTTCGATCATTATGTTCTCCGGCCTTCATCAGGTGTCTGTCAATCTGAGTAACCTTCCAGCAATTTCAAAGTTAACACTTTAAACGGAAAGAGAACGAATAAAAACTGAGCAGTACTAAAAAGTAAAAGGTCAAAACGTATATCCCATGACATGGACAGACACCAGAAGCAGGCTGAAGAACATAACGACTGAAGCTTTGTGATAATAACAACAAAGATAAGGATATTAGTAGAATATAAATAATGTAAATAATTTTCTTAAATCTTGTATTAATTTTGATCTGGAGTTCCAAGAAGAGTTCAGGTTTGAATATGGCGACATGTAGACTATACCTGGATAAAGGTTTCTGTCCAATAACAATAATAATAATATAAAATATCTTGTGTTTAAACCATTGAACCAATGGTAACAGCTTACAAGCACATCACTATGGCATCTAATATATTTTCTTTTATGTGCCAAGTCCCTTCAAAACGATCACGGCTTTCCACAACACTCTGAATGTAAATAATGTAATCACGGCTCTCCACAACACTCTGAATATAAATAATGTAAATAGTGATAACTCCTCATTCTAGACATTAGGCCAAAGATTTAATAAAAAAATCAGATTTTTAGAAAGAATTGGTGGTGATAGGTTCAGGTACAAAGAAGTCTATACTGTAATTATATGTGAGTAAATTTATTGGAAAGAAAAAAACTACCTCTACGTCAAACAGCAAATAAAAAAAAATAAAATTTGCTTCTTATCAACTATTTTTCTCCTGTTACAATTCTCAGTCCTATTTAATTTGTTCTTCGGGTGATAAAATAATTTTAAAATATTTTTTCTGTGTTTCTTTCCACTTCAAAAAAAATTTGAATCGTTTATCTGTCCATTCACCAATTTTTTCCTCCCTTTTCCTATTTCTGCTTCGCCAAATTCATCAATTACACACACACAAAAAAAACGTATCACATATTTCGATGCAGACAAGTATGATGCTGAGAAAGTTGTCATCTGCTCTTAACTGACCATAAAGTTTTGCTCAAATTCACACGTCTCCAAACTTCTAGTAGTTACGTCTCGTACGTTCATCGAAGTTAAACAATAGCAAGCTTGGTCAGTACCTAGATGGGGGACCTCTTCGGAATATCAGACAGTGTAATAAATAATAGGTTGAAATTGAAAATCCGAGAGCTGACTTACAGTTCCAGTCAGGTTCATCATATTCACTTATACACTAATACCCTTGGGAATGGCATGATTCACCGCTTTTCCTCCCAGCTATGGGTTAAATTAGTAAGCCTTGTATCAGTAAATTATTATTATTTCTAAAAATTCTTTACACTCTAAAAATATTTTCTGGCTTGAAACAACCAGCAAAACGTTGATAAGCAAAAAAAAAAACCCCAAAAACAAAAACACCCCCCCCCAAAAAAAAACAAAAAAAAGAATCAGTCACTCTGGTTTTTATGACTAATAAACTAGTAATGAACGAGAGAAGTCTAAAACACTATACAAGTCCACGCATACATTTATACGTATTTTAGGAGGGAAGGAAAGTCCTGTTCAGTTTGGAGATGGAAAAGAAACAAATTCTTCTTTGCACATTATTGTTATATTTAATCAAGATAATATTTCGTTTCGCTATCGATAACGTAAATTTTAACACTTCCAAGACAAAACGGCTTTGATTTAACCACCAGAGAGAACATTTCCTGCCCACTATCAGTATGGTTGATGCTAGACACCAGGGGAGCAACACACTGCGCCTTTTTGGCCTCACGTTTTCCACTTACTTGAAGTGGAACGACTACATCGAATCAAAAGCTGCATCTACTGCTAGGAAAGTTGAGTCACTGTGTCGTAACAGAAAACTTTTCTTGTCAGAATTTATTTTGCACATTTACAAATCTACCATTCTTCCGTTCATTGAATATTGGTGCCATGTCTGGTCGGGTGCTTCAGCTGTACATCTCAAGATTCTTGACAAAATCCAAAGAAGGATCTGTAATGTAATCGATCCTGACATGGCATCTCGACATCAGTCACTTTCTCACCAACATGACGTAGTTTCCCACTGCCTATTCTACAAATATTTTCATGACAACTACTCCGACGAATTTTTTTGCTTGGTGCCTTAACTACATGAATTTAAGACTGCTACTAGATTAGCAACTAGGTCTCACCATTTTACTGTTGAAATAGATAAATTCAACCACCACTTCTACCCCAACAGTTTCTTTTCTCTCATTTCCCGCCTGCGGAACTCTTTTCGGTTTACTTGCTTCCCTGATAAATACAATCTTCAAAAATTTCATGCGGTGTTTACTCGTTCCCCCACTAGAACGAGATGTGACACAAGGTCGGATTAATGTGGGGACCCAAGCGCGTACACTCGGGCGGGGACAAAAATTCCCCTCAGCCCCGCAACCGTTGGTTGCGCCGGCCTCGGTGCGAACACTGATCCCACCCTCTTGTGCAATGGGAGGGCGCGGCCTCGGGCAGCTGTTCCCCAGGGCTGGGCACCTCTTCAGTATAATTTTCCTCAGTTGCCCCTACGTCCTTAGACAGGGAATCCCCTGAGTGCACTCTGTCCAAGGACAGAGACGCAACTGAGAGATAAGTCTGCATTAAAATCCCTTCAATGAGGAATTTATATATATGAAAAATTTAATGCAACGTCAATCGCCATGTTCTAACTCCTTGAATTACGTTCACCTTTTGTCCTTACTTCAATCCTCCCTGTTCTCAGTCTTTTCTTTCATTTTCACTCCCTGTAATCCCCCCCCCCATGCGGCGCATCAGTGGCATTCCAGTCTTGCTTGGGGTGAAATGATTATAAAAAAAACCCATAATCCCATCTATTTGAGAAATATTTAATCTCTTGGATGTAAATTTATTCATGTTTCTATGCAATCATTCATTCATTTTATTCAGTTAGTACATTTTTGCACCACCGCTGTGGTTACCACTCCCATCCATCTCACAATTCGGTTTCATTATGACATTCAAGGCAGAAGACTGCAATGGCTTTCCGGTTCCTTTTGTCACGGGGATGTTGAGATTATTCCATTCCCACTTTCAGAGGTGGATTTGTTCTTGACATTACCCTCTTCTAGCATTTGCCTAAAGGGACAGGACCTAAAAGGCAGCAGATGGTTTGAATTCAGATTCTTTCTTTCACCTAGGCTGGTTGCCAGCCAAGGCTAGAAGTCCCAGTCTGTCCTGCTATTTACCGATAACTGGTGGGAAGAAGAAATCGATTCACACCTTTCCTAAGGGTATTTGCACTTAAGTGAATGAAATTAACTCGAGTGGAATTCAAACTCGACTCTCTGATTCTTCAAGCGAAGCCACTAATCATATATATATATATATATATATATATATATATATATATATATATATATGAAAGTGAACATTGAAGTCAACACTCACAGGCGACAGGCTAGACGCAATCGTTCGTCAGGCCGCCTGACAATTGCGTCTAGTATGAAACAGCCTGTCGCCTCTGAGTGTTGACTTCAATGTTCACTTTATATTTATATTTACACACGCTCTATCTCTGATATTGAGCACTTTATCCCATAAATATAGCACTTCTTAAACTATATATATATATATATATATATATATATATATATATATATATATATATATATATGTTAATCAGTATCACCCCAAACAAAGCAGTAATGCCTCTAAAACACAAGAGGCTACAGGTTATGGAAGAATTAGGAACAAAAACACTAATGATAAACTGAAAGAAAAGAGAGCAATCAGGAGGACAGTAGATAATGATTGACAGTATATTTAAATTTTTACAGATTAAAGTTGGCTGGAAAGCACCGAGCCAGAAGGAAGTTCCACAAGCGAGAAGTGCGAGAAAAGAAACTGTTAGTATAGAAATTACGGTTACATATCGCAAGCTCAACTGTAAATTGATGAGATCTTGAGGCTTAAATGAAAAATGTCTATGTAGCATAGTGAAGCGCTCATTTGAACAATTATCATGAAAGTATTTAAAGAAAAGGCACAGGTGGGAAAGTGACTGAAGCTAAGGTATAGTTTTAACCTGGGAACACTAGCAATTAAGAAGTGGTTCCACACTCCTCAAAACATCCTGATCAGAGGCCTGATTTGGTATGTAGTTTATTGTCTTACCCAGAACGCGGATGTAGTTTATCGTCATACCCAAGAGGATTGGTTTTAGAAATTAGTTATTGTTAGCATAATTTGATGGATTCAATTTAGTCAACTGGACAAGAAAGTTGATAAACATTTCTAAAGCATGCAGTTCTTTATCTTATACACCCACTCCCACCCCCACACACAAACAATCTTGTCGGCATTAAATAACTCATTGAGGGTGATATGTTATAAAACAAACCAAACCAAACCAAACCTTTGAAATCAAGAAACATTAATTGGCACCTGAAGATGGCCAACAGGCACTTGTCTGAAACATTGTATCTATTGCAATCAGAGATGAGAACAATAGTTCAAATAAACCGAATAAGTTCCTTTTTTTCTTAATCATTTAACCCTTAGCAACGCAATTAAGCCACTAAGATTCAAGAGAATGTAAGAGAATATAAAGAAAAAGAAAGCATTATAAAAGAGACTGAACAATAAAAGAATAGGAATTAAGAAGACAGAAGATAACGATTGACATTGCATTTAAATTTTGATTTCATCTCAAAAATCAAGCAAATCATATCGGATGTTAAAAGCTTCTTTTTTTTATCCCAGAATTTTCAAATAAGATTGCAAAGCTTGTGAAAGAGTCACATATATTGTTACTACTAATTCATATCTTTCTTGGTGTTGATATAAAGTGTTACCTGGAAGTTAGTTTTATACTCATCTGTATTTAAAAATTGATTAAAAAAACTCAACACTTAGCCAATTAATCTTCTTTTTTTTTTTTTTTTGTATCTTGTTTCGCTTAATCTGTCTGCTTATTTCTGATGTTCGCTTTTCTGAATGCAAAAATCCCTGTAAAGGTAAAACAAAAATTGTTGCAAGGAATCTCTTGCCTAAATGTCTGGGGATAGAAGCAATAATATTTCATTCATTGAATTTGTGAACATTTCTAATTCAATTATTTTACCACATAATTATCAATACCCCCAGAGTGCAGTGTGTGTCTGTGTGTGTGTCTGTGTGTGTGTGTGTTGTGCAAGCTCGGTTTATCTAATTACAGCATGCACCTTGTGACAGGATTTAATTCAATTTTCTGTCGTGGTCACATCGAGTAATTTAGTTTTAAAATAAGGAAGCAGTGAAAGAACTTCGTTTTTAAATTTCAACAAAAATGTCTGGCATCTTGTGAGTCGACTTCTGTTTTCAGCTCATTCTTTCATTTTTATATAGTCTTTATCCATTTCTCTCATTTTTATATAGTCTTTATCCATTTCTCTCATTTTTATATAGTCTTTATCCATTTCTCTCATTTTTATATAGTCTTTATCCATTCAATCTATATAAAAAAATTACAATTTAATACAAATGATTGTCTAATAATAATAAAAAAGAATGTCTAATACGAAACAAATTGATTGATTCGTTTTCTACGGCTTATCAACTGTTTACAGGTTATTTAAAGCCATAAAATATTCTTTGATTGCAAGAATATTTTTTGGAGATAATAATGATTTATCATACTAATTAACCCATAGCTGGGTGTGGGGAGAAGAGGTGGATTCATACCTTCCTCAAGGTTATTTGCGTGTATGTGAAAATAACGAACCCAATGAGAATTAGAACTCGGTTTTCCGATTTTCAATTCCGAGCCGTTATTCATTATACCATCCGCACATCCACGCATTTATCCAAACTTACAACACCTGGTATCTCCAAGCGGTCACCCATCTAGGTACTGATTAGGCTTGACGTTGCTTAACTTTGCTGAACGTACTGGAATCGGTGTTTTAACATTATGTGGCCACCAGATAATAAAAAAAACAAAAAACAAAACAAAATAAGAACCTTAAAGGAATTTACACTATACACCCTGTCTGAAGTTATTAAGGAAACCATATAAACTTCAATAATTCAAATTTGGGTCGAAAAAAAATTGTCAACTTTTAAACAATGAAATTTGGATGTCAAAACAAAGCCTGAGTTAAAATTTTAGGTAATATCAAAACGTTTTATTGAAGTTATTTGATGTATTCTAAAAAAACTACTGTCTGAAGTTATTAGGCAAAACCAAATAATCACATTTGACTTAATAAAAAAGTAATAAAATTATAAAAAATTAATCAACACCAATAATAGAACAAATAAAAAAATCGTATAAGTCTTTATATTTTAATATAGTGACCCCTCTTCTCAATAACATTATCCATTGATTTTGCCAATTATTTTATTTCAACAGGTTCAATTTCCGACATGGTAGCTTTAATTGCTTCCCACAGGTCTGCTTTGCTGTTTTATATTGTTTGCCACCTTCATATCATTTCATCTTCAAAATTGACCATAGATTTTCGGTCAGATTCATATCAGAACTTGATAGTAGCCATTCCATTATCTTCTCTCCTGTAAATCTATGCTCAAATAATTTATGGGTAAGCTTAGATACATGAGAAGAAACATTGTTGTGCATAAATATACATTCCACTTTCAAAATGCAAGACTGGGACATGTACCATGCAAAGAAAGTCTTGGTCATAAAATCCCAATAGTTAGCACTGTTCAGTTTAACTCCTTCATAAACTTTAAATTGGCCAATAATGGTTTGGTTGGCAATTCTAGCCGATATTATGACACTACCATCTCCTTGTTACCTTCTTTTAGCTACAGATATATTTGAATTGGTTAAAATCCATCCTTTGGTCCATCCATCAGGTTCATCAAATATCACTAGAGATTCGTTCATAAAAATTACTTTAGAAAAGTCAATTTTTATGTATATCTTGGCCCAATTTTGATGCTTTAAAATATTTGTTTTAGAGAGAGGAGGTTGTCTAGGAGATTTTTTTACAGATCCCAATTCACAAAATATTCTACACCTTTTTTCTTGATTCGCTCACTTCCAGTCTTTTCAAAAATCTGGGTGTAGTAAAAACAGAACCAGTGAATAAACTTATACCAAAGCTTTATTGCACTTTACTCTGACTACTCGTCTGTTGACAAATTTAACAGGGTGCTTTTTATACCTCCTAGATCTTAAGGGGAGGTAACTGATGATTTATCAGTACACTGAGCACTGGTCAAAAGTGGTTGTTTTGCTATAACTCATTTAGTTTACATTCATCTCAAAGAAACAAGTTCTTAAACCCTTTCCCTTTGTTTTGTGTTTTCAACTAATATTTTCAACAACATTCTTTACCGTTTGATGATCTCTGCAAAGCTCCTTTGATATTTCCTATATGGATATTCCCACATTTTATAACTTTGTTATTTTTTGTTTTGCAGCAGTTGTTAGATCCTTTTGTTTATCCATGTTTTAACATATATTATGGACAAAAAGAAAAAAAAAAGCTTTTATTAGATTTCAGCGCTCTTAGGCTAATATTAGTTTAATCTGCATAATGACTTCTGTCAGTTCATTTTCGTAAATTCCAAATGTCTCAAAAACTAACCATTAAAAATGGCAGAAAATTTAAATATTTTACTAAGGGTGGAAATGGTTGAGTTTACATTTGACAAATAATGATTCAGAACTTTCTGAACTATTGAGGTTTATTTGATTTGCGTAATAACTTCAGATAAGCTGTAGAAAATGGTGTCCTGTTTATAATATAAAGACAGTGTTAAATCGATCCCTGACTTAATAAATAGTCATCTGTAACTTGTTTTTTTACCTAAAAGTCATTGATAAATGCGTAGTATTACTTATTTCATTCTTTTCATTTTTATTTACAATTAAATCAGCAAACATTGGGCTAAAATAAGAAAAACTAACGGAAGGTCTGTAACGTAATCGATCCTCACCTGGCATCTCAACTTCAGTCACTTAAGGGGAGGTAACTGATGATTTATCAGTACACTGAGCACTGTAATTGATCCTGACCTGGCATCTCAACTTCAGTCACTTAAGGGGAGGTAACTGATGATTTATCAGTACACTGAGCACTATAATTGATCCTGACCTGGCATCTCAACTTCAGTCACTTAAGGGGAGGTAACTGATGATTTATCAGTACACTGAGCACTGTAATTGATCCTGACCTGGCATCTCAACTTCAGTCACTTAAGGGGAGGTAACTGATGATTTGTCAGTACACTGAGCACTGTAATCGATCCTGACCTGGAAACTCAACTTCAGTCACTTTCTCACCAACATGGCGTAGCTTCCCTGTGTCTTTTCTTAAAATATTTTCATTGTAATTGTTCTCATATGTTTTTCTCCTTGTTGCCTTGACTGTTTGAATTTAAGTGTGCTATTAGATTGTCCATTTTTAATTATCCCAGGCGTTTTTGGTCACTTCTGTAGTGATTTTTAAGGATGTTTTGTCTGTAGTGTTGGTATTTTTTCCTCATGTTTTGGCTGTTACGTTGAAAATTATGTTTTATGTCGTATTTTAAAAAAGGAGCTTTCATTCCAAGCTCTCATATTCCGCGCGCGACCGGAATTCGCGTGAGCATCTTTCTGTTTCTTTTCAATTTTCCACTATTTAATAATGTAAGGTTGATGGTAGGAAAGCATTTTTTTGATATTTTAGGGCCTCTCGAATAGCAAATATTTCTGATAATATATATAATCATTATATCTTCGACCAGAATTTTCCTTAATGGTTCTTGGAGATTATGGACTAATAATACATAACACCAGAGACAAAATCCCCTTGAAAATGGCTATAGAAGTGGCCAAAAGCACTTAGGACAATAAAAATTATGAACAATTTTTATATTCCTTACCTCTTACAAAACAGAAAAAAAATCTTAGGATACTGGAAAAAACTCAATAAAAAATTAATTCAATCTTCCTTGCCGGCCATATTCAATGTGGATATACGTTACTTCTATGTGACTTTAATACTTTTATTGGGCGATATCGTTACTTATCTGAAATAAATGTAAATTACTTTTGTTTTTGAGTTTCTAGATATATCCATATATTTATTATTTTTATTACAGGAGGCCTTCGTTAAAGCGGCTGCCTGAATCATGTCCATTCACTAATACGGCACTGATTTCAAATTTCCCAGGACACTGCACCAAACAAATATTCTCGGTTGTGTGTGATCTGTTGATTTTTTAACGGAAATTAAAATCTGCATGTCACGAGCTTATTTCCATGATCAAAAATAAACATTACCTAAGCTACCGTAGAACCAATTAGAATCACATCCGGGAGGCTATAAACAGGTGCAATTCCTTTCTTCCTCTTTTTTCTCTTTTGGGACATTGGTCGTGAGGTTTGGTATCTTTTTCATAAGTTCGTTCCTGTAGAAAGATGTATTAACGTCTCCGAAAATGCAGCCTTCACAACCAAGATATAATTCTTATTCCCGAGAAAAAGACTCATACAATTGTACATTTCAGGTATGGACATTTTATACACCAAACAAACTTGTACATTTCTTTCTTATTTGTTTGTTATAAATTGTTTTCTGTGTAGGTTATGGTTCGGTTTTATTTACTGATTGTATCCATTCTAGCATAATGTGCCTTTCTCTCCAAATTTGCTTTTTACGACTCCGAGGATTAATGACATCATTTGTTACTTTCAGGCAATATGACCATGTGTCTTTGTTTGAATGTAGTTTAGGGAATTACCTTTAAAAGGCTAAGCTAAAGGATAATACCCGCAACAGATCTGTGCACCTGTTGATACACTCTGTTAAGCACAGGTATTGTTGTAACCTAGGAAAGGTTACTGAATGAGGAATAACCAAAACGGAGGTTGGAAATAAAATGGTAATCTTTATAATATCAACAAAATACAATATTCGCTAGTATTTAATACTCTATCAACTTGTCAGTTCTTTTCATTATTTCAAATCCTATTCATCAATGTTCGTTTTGTTCCTCTTTTCTATTCAATCTTTCATTTAAACCTTCCTTCCTTCCTTCCTTCCTTTCCTCTTTCCTTCATTCCTTCCATTCCTTCCTTCTTTCTTTCCTTCCTTCCTCCCTTCCTCTCCTTCCTTCCTTCCTTCCTTCCTTCCTTCCTTCCTTCCTTCCTTTTCCTTCCTTCATTCCTTCCATTCCTTCCTTCTTTCTTTTCCTTCCTTCCTCCTTCCCCCCTCTTCCTTCCTTCCTTTTCCTTCCATCTTCCTTCCTTCCTTCCTTCCTTTTCCTTCCTTCCTTCCTTCCTTCCTTCCTTTTCCTTCCTTCATTCCTTCCATTCCTTCCTTCTTTCTTTCCTTCCTTCCTCCCTCCCCCCCTCTTCCTTCCTTCCTTCCTTCCTTCCTTCCTTCCTTTCCTTTTCTTCCTTCCATCTTCCTTCCTTCCTTCTTCCTTCCTTCCTTCCTTCCTTTTCCTTCCATCTTCCTTCCTTCCTTCCTTCCTTCCTTCCTTCCTTCCTTCCTTCCTTCCTTTTCCTTCCATCTTCCTTCCTTCCTTCCTTCCTTCCCAATCATTTTCGTTCCTCTTCTGACTCTCACCATCCCCATTTTATCATGTTTTTAAATGTATCGCTCTTTTTATGATTTCTTTCTTTTTTTCCCTTTTTTCCCCCTTTCGTTTTTCTCTCTCTTTTTCTTACTTCTATTCTTTATCACAAATTGTTGTAACCTAGAAAAGGGTTACTGAATGAGAAATAACCAAAACGGAGTTTGGAAATGAAATGGGAATCTTTATAACATCAACAAATGTTGCGGCCTTGTTAGGGCCAGAAATAAAGACACAAGAGAGGAATTGAGTTAAACAAATATATTAACAAAAACATTAATACAAACATATACAAACGAGAGTGTTACAGCAAGAATGTTCGATCCGACTGTCAGTGCTGACTGATGGAAACTTCTCTCTCCAAAAAGGCAGTACCTGCTCCTATTTATAGCTGGGAGAGTCCGTGAGTGCGTGGGTAAATTACCATAACAACAAAATACAATACTCGTCAGTGAAGTAGGTAAACCACTGCTAGTGGTGGACTACTTAGACAGTATATTACCCCCACTTACAATATATTTTGCTTTTGTTTAAGCTGAGAATCAGCAAGAAAGTGTATCCAGTGTAATTAAAAATAAAGGTTAAATTCTTTGTTTTTTTTCAAAAACAAAAAAAAAAAATGAAACAGTAGTATCAGTGAAATATCCTTGTGTGAATATAATAATATTAGCTTTTCCACAATATATATGAGCGTCTTGGGTAAGACGATAAACTACATACGAAAACAAGGCCTTTGATCAGAATGTTTTGAGGAGCGTAGAACCACATCTTAATTGCTGGTGTTCCCAGGTCCATCCTAACTCGGGGTGGTAGCACCTGTTAGGGTCCCAGCTATGGGCAAATAGTTACCCCCACCAAAAAAGGGTTCAAAACATTATGAAAGTATAAAAATAAGTTTTAATACCAGCAATACTTTTTTTTTTAAATTTTTTACCACCAATACATTTCTGAAAAAAATATTGCAAGCAATAAAATCTTGTCGACATTAAATAATCCATTGAGGTTGATATGTCATTAAACAAACCAAACCAAATCAATATATATGAATGTCAACTGAAAAGTTCATAGGCTGACCAAGATACTCACATGGAATGTGATCAAATGAGGTTTATTTTTTCAACATAGTCTCTTTTGCGACTCACACATTTTTTTCATCAGTGTTGCAATGCTTGGATCTCATTGATGTAGAAGCTTTCTTCCTGTTGGTAAAAAAAAATCATCAACAGTAGTTATGACATCATTATCACTGCCCAACAAAATTTCTTTTTATGTTGGGGATAGACAGATGGAGACAAATCAGGAGAGTATGTATGGCGATGAACCATGTCCTGATGATACAAGACCCCTTTTGTCAGTTTTCCTTGGCGTTTGGTCTTCAGCAAGTTGGCATAGTACTCTCCATTGATGGTGTGGCCCTTTTAAAGATAGTCATTAAAAACAATGTCTTTTTCATCCCCCCAATACTGAGAACATCACTTTCTCTGCATATCACAAAATCGACAAAATTTGGCACCATAAGATGCCAAATTTTGTCGATTTTCAACAGAGGTCGTTACTAGTTACTTTAGAGGTCTTCTTTGAGCAGTCAGATGTCACTGGAAAGTAACAATGTATTTATTAATAAGAAGAGTTGAAATGAATGCCTACAAGATTTCACAGCTCTAGCATTACTCCTTCATAGTCAGCCTATGAACTTTTCAGCCCACCCTCGTACCTGGAAATAAACAATGCAGTTATTAATAAGAAGAGTTGAAATGAATGCATGCAAGATTTCACAACTCTAGCATAACTGGTGATTAAATAATTTTTAAAGAAATTTAAAAACAAAATGTTACCTCTTTTCCGAAAGTTAAAGTTTAATACTGACCTTATGTCCCCCTCCCAGTTTAACTTTCGGAAAAGAGGTAATAATTTGTTTTTAAGTTTCCTTAAAAATCATTTAATCACCAGACCATCGCCTGAAGAAGTACAATCATAGTATTGAAGTATGAAAGCTTTTGTTTAGCGATTTCAACATGTTTTTATTATAATCTATTATAATAAAAATATAATAATAATAATATATTGCTCTACTTTGGATTGAGCACTTTTTAAAAAAGTAAATGCTACGAACTGTGGATTTTTACTCCATATTTTCATTCTCTCATTATTTAAGCTATATAGTCTGTTCCATTTTTTACCTTTTTGGCCGGTTTTACCCTGACGATCCGTTTAGGTGAAACCTAGGTAGGTTTACCTGGCTCCGTAGGATTATATTAGGTTTGCTCTACTTCATTTATTGAGCACTTTACGTCGTTGCTTTTACTCGTTTTGGAGATTTCTTTTTTCTTAGAACTCTGAGCTTGAACTCTGGACGATTGTTTTCGCCTCAATTTCATGTTCTTAGTTCTTTCTTTTTTTTATTCCTCATTTTTCCTTGGGTGTTGGTTTGTTCAACTACAAGCCGAAATACCTAAGGTTTTTCCGAGCAAGTAACACTATATATATATATATATATATATATATATATATAGAGAGAGAGAGAGAGAGGAGAGAGGGATGAGAGAGAGGGAAAGAGAGAGGGAGATATAAAGCAACAGAAAGAAAAACATATTTTTGTTTTTTTGGGGCTCATAATCGTTCAAAGAAATGTGAAGAAAGCCAATGAAAAAATAGAAAAAGATAGGAACCAGATAAAGTTTCAATTTCGTGCAGGTGAACGTGTTCAACTGTTTGATTAGTTATTGTTTACAGGTAATCCTTCAACGATTCAGCATTTTCGCTTACCCAACATTCCCTAGGGTCCGAAGGTGTTGGCTTTCCAAATCTCTACTTCTACTGTTTTTAATCTCCAGTTAACGAGTTATGACTATTGATTTGACCTTTCTTAGTTATTGAGGCACCTCGGTGTGTTTGGCGGCTAGTTTGGTTAAGCATTACTATTAAGTCATAATTTCCATCCTCACTGATTGTGCCATTTAAATTTAAATAACCCAACAACTGATTGATATTTTTTACGGTGTATCAACACTTTGTGGGTTATTTGAAGCTGTAGCATATTTTGGATTGTAAGAATAATTCTTTTTTTTTGTGAGTGAATATTGCGTAAACAATTCTTTTTGAGTTTAACAATGATTTTTACAGATATAAGTCCTATTATTTACCTCATAGCTGTGGGAGAATATTGATTCATACCATTCCCAAGGGTAATAGTGCGTGAATAGCCCATCACGAACTGACATCTAAAATCAAGCATTCTAACATACCTTAGGTTTGTTTTAGATGGCCAAATCAATAAAGGCGATGTCTATGTCAGATGGGATTTTGTGTGTTTATATATATATATATATATATATATATATACATATATATTAGTTATTTCACCCCGATCAAGGCAATAAAGCCACTAAAATTTACTACTCAGTTGTAATTGATCTACCATGACAAGTTTGCTAACATTTACATCACGTCGAAGTGCCCATGAAAATTCTTTGTATAAGATTTTTTTTTATAAAAATTGTCAAATGACATCTGAACCGTTTCGGTTTTCATAAGCCATTATGAAAGAATTCTTTTCCTTTGATAGAATTGTCTATATGTAGAAATTGGGTTTTCATTGGTAGTTTTTGAGTGTCGCGTCTTCATGCGTCAGTGGCTGTCCGGCTATATCAAGTATCACCTGTATGCACCTGTTTATTATTATTATTTGCGAAATGTGCTTATTGTGTTTATTCCTAAAATGAATTAAATTTTATATTTTTGTTTGTCTTTTATGGTTAAGGCTCCTGACATATGTAATCATTTTTTGTAGTTTATGTCATAGTTATTCTTTGTTACTGACAAATATTTTTTGGATTTCTTGTATTTTGTTGTTTTGTTGATGTGCTATTACAGGTAAATGGCAAGTTAACCGTCGCGATAATGTAGTTATTGGGTAATCAGTGTATGTATTAGGTTGGTGCGAAAATAATGACGTAATAATGTCGTTTTTTGACGTTAAAAAATACGTCATTATTTTTGCACCAACCTAATATTTGAATTGCTATAAATAAAGAGACATTCTCCAAGTCTGCAATTCATAGAGCATATTGCTTTGTTGAAGTTCAATTTTTTCGTTGCATTGTTGGTAGTGATAAAGTTAGAGCGAATCTTTGTCTATGTATGAAGTGAATTACATTTGATGTCCGATATTCTGAGAAGCTTTAGCGAAAATAAGCAGTCATAGAGTTTAATAAACTGAACATTGTGATAAAAGGTAATCAGATGAAATCTTGTCTTCATCTGTTTCGGCTTGAAGGCAGATTACTGATCAATTTGATTTCTCATCTTGAGCATGGCTGATCGATTACGAGCATGTCCATCTGCTCAGACTCATATGTGTTTCATCAACACCTACACAGACAACCCGTGGTTTGTACTGTATCTAAGCTGAGTGCACATTAGTTTCGGTTCAAGTCTGTGTCCCACCAAAGCCAAATATGGGTTTGAATTCATAATTACACTTCTACCATACTAATTGCCAAGCACAATAAGTGAGTCCTGCTATTTAATCCATAGAGGGGTCAGAGGTGTATTCACACCTTCCCCAAGGGTATTTGTACCAAACTAAATATAAGGATCTCAACCGGAATCCGAACTCAACTCGCTAATTTCGTATTCTAGGCCTCTAAACATTACACCACCTGCACATCCTGCAATGAGAAAGAAGTTACAAATAATAATGAAAATATTTAATTTAAGAAACTTAAGTCTAGTATGTCTATTACCGTAATTCCCCATGTATAATACGCCTTCATCCATAACACTCACACCCAAAATTGTGCTGAAAGTGTGCGAAAATGCTTCTACTCACGCATAATACGCACCCCTTGTTTGGTAATCAAACCCTATAAATTATACCTCTCTAATTTCATTACAGCCAGCGTTTCCTACTCTTATTTAAAAAATGGTTTTAAACATAGAATAATATTATTCTAATTTAGTTTTATGATAATTCTTATTTTATTTTACGGCAATCTTTTAAAGATTTTTTTTGTAGCTGTGCATAATACGCACCCCTGATTTTGCTTATTATTTTTTAGAAAAAAAAAGCGTATTATACACGGGGAATTACGGTATTATTGCTAGGTGGAAACAAGCGATAAAAAGAAAAGGAAAGATGAACTAATCAAAAATTAATAATAATGACAATGCACCATTTAAGAAAGCTAGATAATTTAAAACTATTATGTCTGTTACTACTACTAGGTGGAAACTACCATTAAGAAGATGATGAAAGAAAAACTAGCCAAAAATCAATATTGACAATGCCTCATCTAAGAAATTCAAATAATTTAAGACTATTATATCTATTACTACTACTAGGTGGAAACTACTAACAAAATATGAAAGAAGAAATTCAAAAATATTGAAAATGGCCCATCTAACTTCAGACTATTTTGTCTATTACGAATACAAGATAAAAACAATCAACAAAAATAAATTAGAATTCAGCGAAAATTCTTCATCTAAGGAATTGAAACTACATGAAACTATTTCCTCATTTTTATTTCGAAACTTTGAATTCTGAGAATCTCTTCGGAGTTAATCTAACATTTCGCAAAAAGGAAGTACAGGAAAAGGCCATTCCCAAAGTAGATTGCTTGTCTTTAAAGGTTATAAACACAGGCTGTGTGCTGAAAATACTATGTATAGATTAACGCTGGAATTGTTTTTCTTTCACTAACCGTTTTGAGTACTTTCACTTCATTTTCTTCCAAGCCATTTTATTTTCGTTGATTGACTGCAAACTTTGGCACTTATCCAAGAGATTTCCAATTTCTTGCCTGAACTAGCAGACTTGCTGAACTTGTAATTTGAAGTGGAAATGAACCCTTGCTGACAGTAAATGCCCCAAATTCGACACTTGAGAGTTTATGATAGGCAGGAATTGTAATTTTAAGTAGCCATTAAGAGGACCAGGGTAAAAAGCTTGAAAACAAAGCAAATATGATTCCTGCTTTTTTGTCTTTTCCATTTTTTCTTATTACACTTTTAAAAATCTCTTCAGATTAATATTATTATTTTTTACTGAACATCAAGAAAAATTTGTGATAAACAAAGAGAATTTGTTACACACAGACACACACACACAAACATATACAGTGTGCGGCAGAAATATCTCCCGTATATATCTCCCAGAAATACCTCCACATAATGGTAAGACATTAGCCAGATGAAGGCAGCATTGTCACCAAAAACTTACATTTATCTGGGAGGTATTTCTGGAACGTATATATGAGAGTCATTTCTGCCACGTCCTGTATTATTTCAAATATGCTATATTTATGGGTGTGTGCATAATATTGGATACAGTGTGCTTGCAGATATCAACAGTGTAGACATAGCTGTTAACACTGCATGTTGACAGGCCGTTTCATGTTACAACTGGCAGGAAGAGGCATGAAAGTGAGAGTCACCTTGCAATCTTGATTGCTATATCCAATCTATCTATCTATCTATCTATCTATCTATCTATCTATCTATCTATCAGTCTGTTGATATCTATCTATCTATCTATCTATCTATCTATCTATCAGTCTGTTGATATCTATCTATATATCTATCTGTATGTCAGTCTGTTCATATCTATCTATCTATCTATCTATCTATCTATCTATCAGTCTGTTCATATCTATCTATCAGTCTGTTGATATCGATCTATATATCTATCTGTCTGTCAGTCTGTTCATATCTATCTATATATCTATCTATCTATCTGTTCATATCTATCTATCTATCTATCTATCTACATAGTGGAAAAAGAAGACAAAATGGAAAAGCATTCTAATGTCAACACGTTTCACCTTTGTGTACTAGGTAGGCGTCTTCAGGTCAGAATAAAAGATAAACCATTTGCATTAAAGTCCTTAATGTCTGTTTGCCCGTTTGCCGTCTTCCGGCCGGAATGAAACAAGAAGACTGCGTGTGATAATGTTTTATTTTTTTTTAATTTCGTATTTTTGTTCTTTCATTCCCACCGTAAGATGCCAACTTAGCTAACAGACTGTAACGGCTTTACCACTAAAAGCACACACAGTTTTGGCTTTCCTTCTGAACTGAAAACGCCAGCCTAGAACACGAAGTCGAAATGCATTGTCATTAAAATCTTTTCCACTTTGTTTCATTTGCCCACTTTTGTTCGGATTTTATATCCTACTGACTGGCATACATACATACGTATATAAAGATACAAACTCAAAAACTTCATGAGGTAATAATTTATTTCATTAGGGTCGTAAAAACGGCCTCAATTCTTCAGACTTTCAAATCCAAAAAGCCTTTTAGAAATTTCTGTGTCGCAATGGAATCATATTTTTAAAAGAAAATAATTATAATATTTTGCTCTCCTGTTTGTATCGAGCACTATTTTTGAAAAACAAAAAATAATTGCTATGAAGACCGAATTATAAATCTTACTGTTCTTTCTTATTTTTTATATATATATATATATATATATATATATATATATATATATATATATATATATGATCTTAATTACATTTTTAAAATATGATTCTATCGCTACACAGGAATTACCATGTTTCAAAAACAGAAGCTAAAAACTTCAAATTCAATTACAGAAATTAAATTAAATTAAATTAAAGAGCCAAGTTCTGTTTCATTTTGAAGCGAATTTTGGAAAAAATTCGCTTGAAAATGAAACAGAACTAGGTACTTTAATTTAATTTAATTTCTGTTTTTGAAACATGGTAATTCCTGTGTAGCGATGGAATCATATCTTTAAAAAAATAATTATGATTATATATATATATATAAATAAATAATTATGATCTAGGCTCTACTTGTGCATCGAGCACTTTTTTTTTAAAAATAAAAACAAAAATACTAAAGAATTACGGGTCATCAATCTAACGGTTCTTTCCTATTCTATCAATATATTTGCACACACACACACACACACACACACACACACACACACACACACACACACACACACACACACACATATATATATATATATATAGAGAGAGAGAGAGAGATTTAATATGTTTTGTCACTGTGGCACTTGCTCCTATGTCCATTTGCTTATTCTTGTCCAGTAGGTCCTCTCATCATGTTACATGTCCCTTCAGGCCATGGGCAATCATGGTTCGCCTCACCTTCCTTTCTTTTCTTGATCTTACCAGTATTTGTTTCTTTATTAGTCTTCTTTGCCTTTAGGATACTTGCTTCTCTATTCATTTGCTTATACATGTCGGGTACGTTCTCTATGTACATATGCGATCATAGCTCGCCTCAGCTTTCTGCCTTTTATTATTTTTACAAGTACTTGTGTAGCGTTGCAGCACAGACCATTCTTTTCATTCTTTTTTTTTTATTCGAAAGCTGACAGGGTAAAGAGGCCTGGTTATCTATAAGACAGTGGTCCCTAGCAGGCGAAGATAGACTAACGCTCGCTCGCGAAGGAAAAATGATGGCACACGCACGTTAGACTACTCTTCCTCACTAGCCTACAACAGGTTATATTCCTCACTAGGTTACAACAGAATAAAATTTGGCGTCTGCTATAATTTTGTCTCATGGTTTTATTTCGTGGGTCAAAAGAATTATTTTTCATGTATTAAGCCTCGAAGAAGCTGCACTTGGAGAAGGAACCTGGTGCCTGGTCTGAGCTGCAACACTACATGTACATATACATTTGAAGTAATCGAGGAATTTTCTGATCCCACCTTGTATATGTGTCCATACATTCTGCTTGAGACTCTTTGACAAATAAGAAGAAAGAGTTTCATTGTCTATGTTTTCTGAAAAAGGGCAGCTTTTCTAAAAGTCTGTTTTCGACCCCAGCAAATATCAATAGCGTCCAATTCCATTGATGCATCTCTCTGTCTTTGACATGACATCTTTGATAAACTCACTTTCAGCCTTTGGGAACTTAGAAAATATTCTATAGACATTTATTTAGTGCTGTTTTTCTTTTTTTCTTCTTTTTTCATGCGGGCTTCTCTAAAGAGATTACAGCCTGTGTCAAAACCTTTTTTAGCAAGACAACTGACAAATGTTCGGAACAATAACTTTGGGAACATCTGACCAGTGATTGTCTTTTTACCGCTTGTGGAGACAGTCTGGAAGCTTTTAACCTTATTGGTTCGAAACCGTAAAATGGGAACTGTTGCTAATGACAGAATTCGTCAAGAGCTTCGTTTGATCAAAGTGTAAGTAGAACATACAAAAAGGTTAAATGATTCAAATAAATATGGCAAGAATGCATGGCACATTTATTTTTTGAAAGCATTGCTTCATCGAAATTTAATTATCTGGGAAATGTTAAAAGAGACGAAATGGTATGCGCGGCACTGAAATCCGAAGATGTGTTGGGATAGCGAAAGATGCCTTCCAGAAGTTAAACTAAGAATTAAGAAACACGAAAATTCTGGCTTTGAACTGTTATATAGGACGCGTAAGTTATTTGAGCACTGACTGAAAGACCGTAAGAAAACAAAACACATCTTACAAACAGCTAAGTTTATTGATAGAAAACCTGTTAACAAGATGCAGTAATGGTCGAATTACATGTTTATTTGAAGTAACCGCCTTCAGCCACATTGGCAGTTTCAATGAGATAGCTGAGCCATTCAGATGCACGACTCATATGGTCTGGATTGATATTGAAAATTACTTGGGTAATGGAAGCTTTTAGGGAACGTTGATTTGTCTCCCTTTCAACAACGCCCCACATGTAATAGTCAAGGGAATTTAGGTGAGTTAGGCGGCCACGTGTCTGTAGTCGTGTAGATTGGTCGCCATCCAGTTTAGGTCCACCATAGCTTTTTGAGCAGGTGCAGAGTCCTGTCGAAAGACATGACCTTACATCGGATACACGGTCTATCCAGAGCCCCACAACTGTTACCAGAACCGCAATGTAGCCAGCAGCATTAAACTGAAGACCCTGTTGAAATATGTGGGTGGCATGGCGTGTCCTTCACTACTCACCACCCCTAAAATGATCACAAAAGCGGGAAACAGGTTACATAATGTTGTAACCTAGTGAAGGTTACTGAATAGAATAATCAAAAAAAAGTTGGTGATGAACGATAATACTTAGGACAAGAACAATACATATAAGATTCGCCAGTGGAGAATAGAAGTGAGTCAAGCGAATTCCACAATGAATCTCCAACTGCAGGGTATCTGCCAACCCCATACGTGGTCAGATGTGGCATAATGTAGGGTATCCGAGCCCGTAGGCTCGGCCAAAAATTCCCCGTAGACCCAGTATAAAACGGGGTCGGGTAGCTGTTTCTCGAGACAAAACTCTGCCCTTCAACATAGCCTCGTTTGGAAATCCTCTCTGCCCGACCAGCACAGCTAGAGACGGATCTCCAACTGCAGGATATTTACCAACCGCTCCACGCGGTCAGTTGTGGTACAATGCCGAATTTAATGTGGGGAATCCGAGCCCGTATTCTCGGCCAAAAATTCCCGTAGGCCTCGTATAAAACGGGATCGGTTAGCTGTTCTTCGAGACAAAACTCTCCCTTTCAATATAGCCTCGTCTAGGAATACTCCCTGTCCGAGACAGAGAGTTTAACTAGCACGGCTGGAGACGAATCTCCAACTGCAGACCAACATACAGTACTGTATTTATGTGAATGGGGACATACCCATTATCGTCTGTAGGTATGCTACAGCAAATAACTGTGGAGACATCAGAAGTTGAAAGATTTGCACTTAGCCACTTGTTCTGAGCCTGGTTGATATCTTTTTATTGTGAAAAAAAAATGGCCTAAAAAAAATAAAGCAGTCCATGCCAGGTTTCAGCATGTTCCTTAATAGTTTTTTTCTCGGATCAATCGTTCTATTCTTCTTGTGTGTATATGCAGGCATGAACTGCCCTTTCCCCGTTACGTATGCCTTGTACCGAATGTTCTCATGCACCACGGATTGTGATCTCGAACAGCTGGAGATCCATAGCAACGCCCCCCACTAGACGTTCTAAGAATAGCATCGATAATGTCCTGCACCGGCTGTACGAATGGTGGTCTTCCGATATTGTCCGAACACTATGAATGCTTTTTGCGCTTCGTTATAGGCAGCACATATTCACCGGAAACTTCCAATTCCTTTCGAACTTTGTGCACTATAGACTTAGTGACTTCCACAAAACATCCAATCTCAACATCGCTGTGCTTTGCGTGTAACGCAAAAATTACAGCCTGTCGTTTCATCTCATGCATTAGCTGATAGTTCGGTATTGCCTTTGGAAAAGATAAAAGTACATTAATTGATAATCACATAACTGCAGGCACACACTCACACGTCCTCAAATACCTTACGCACCCTGTATGCTACCAGTCCTCCTATATAGCAGTGAATGCTGAACAATTTCCTTACAGAGGAAAAGAAAACTTGAGACAATAAAGTTGTGGGTCTACAGAAGGACACTGAGAATAATATAGACCAAACATGTAAGAAACGAGAAAGTTTTAAGGAGAGTTTAGTTTAGTTTTTCCTTCCGCTTGTGCTGTTAGGCGTCGCGGAGAGACACAGTCGTCTATCAGCGGCAAGGTGAGTAGCTTGAAGGAGAAATATCTCGTGGGCTCTGAGAGTGTCTGCCTCTGAGTCGCTCCACCGTCTTCTTGGTCTTCTCGCTCTCCAGCCAGAGTACCTGAGGGGTTTGCTTCTCGAAGCCCAACCACTCATCCTCGTCGTGGGAGGTGGAAACAGGCAATGCTGGCCAACAGGGCACTGGTGAAGCTGTGACTCGCTTAGCAGGCCGAAAGGAGATACGG